TGACTGACCGGGGAAACCCACCTTAGTTTGTCTAATATTTTGGTATGATCTGAGGTAGACTCCTGATATTTAACCCGCGCAATAAGGGAAAGCGGTTGGCTTGTGGGCGCGGGTCAAGGTAGTCGGTGGCTGGCGGCGAGGTTGCACCGGCGACGTGGAAGCATCCAACGAACGTCCTTCCCCCTCTCATCCTCCTCTCTCAGTCAGCCATGACGGCCGCAGCGGCGTGGCAAGCACTGAACGTGGGAAACTCACGGGTCATGGTGCTCTGTCACTTCAATCACGTTTGCGATGGAGATGGGCACACCCTGCGTGTATGTGTGTATATAGTGACAAGAAAAAATATTCTACTAATCTTCCTCGAATTCAGGATATTCTAGAATCCTTGATTCTCACAGCAGACCTACTTCCTCTCTCTCTCTCTCTCTCTCTCTCTCTCTCTCTTGCTGGTTCAGGTGAGACTAAGTTATCGCTGCAAATTACATAATTTGTACAAGGGAACATCACCATCGTCGTAGTTGACAGATACAAAGGCCATACTATTGGTCAAGAATACAAGAGGAAACTAGATCTGTCGTCGACACCCCTTTCATACTAACACGGGCCGGATACTATTACCTTTTCTTAGTCATATGTTAAGTTCCATCTATTCCTCGGAGTATCCGACGGTTGCGGTATATTTGAAAATTACGGCCGGAGCGGGCGCCGGGGACGGCCGAAAGGCGGATGTTATTCCGATGGGGCAACGAGTGCATGTGGCGTCGGCATCTTTGTTGCCATGTGCGCTCCGTAGTTCAACGGCCCCTCTGCGGAGAAGAATCACCCGACGACCGCATATTCCGAGGCGGAGCCGGTTCATTCTCTGGTTGTATAGAGAAGAGACGGATCTTCTCCTATCCTTTGAAAAACATTTTGGACTCTTCTATCGTGTTTCTGACTTTTACGCGAGGAAGGTGGAAATCCCGGATCCTTCCACAAACCTTTAAGCTCCTGGGTTTTCAGCATTTGACGAAGTCGGGCATCTCCGCCTCATTCCACACATGTTCCCCGCTCTCGCGGGTGTCCAGTAGGTTCCACGAAATCTCGCATGACGTCGGGCCTAGCCCTGGGCCCAAATTTAGGAAGGACTTTATGAGGGTGCTTTGCCCAGTTTAGTTAGATAGTTCTATCAAAAGGTTGACCAAATACTCTTGACCCTACTTCAAGCAATAAAATTATAGTTGACAGTAGCCAACAGGTTCAACCCTTGTCCTTAAACAAGACTATTGCTGATTGAAATTGTAGATTAGGCAAGGGCCTAAGCTTTTGTTGAGCTGTATACCAAAGGTTAGGCTGATATCATGAAGATTATTTGGTAAGCCCAATAAAGAAGAAACTTTATTCATCACGTCATTAATTTTTTGATCTTTTCTATAGGGACATTTATAATCCATAATATTTGAAGAATTATTTTTAGCTATGTGATTCTTCTCATATAATTGCCTTCCATTCTTTGTATTAGAAATTTATGAAAATAGGATGCATATTTCTAACCCATATGTGCACAGTTATGAGTTGAGATGCCAAAGAGAAATTGAAATAGCTATAATGCTGCTGTATGAGGAATAATGGCAATATCCCTAAAGTATCTTGTGAGGACAGAAGAAAATATTTGAGGGCGAGAGAGTCAAATTGTCCAATAGCCGACATGGCTATTGGGTGGCAAGAGGTTGTCTCACCAATTTCTTGATTGAGACCAGCTTGTACATTGATTGTGCTATCGTGCAACAATGATGTCATAATCTTCATAATGTCATGGCCAGGTACAAGTCATTATGGTCCAGAACATTTGCATGAATCCAGAAAATATATTACATAAATGAATTCAGAAAATATTTCATGAAAACGTTAAATGTTGAAAAGGTCGTGTCATGATGGTTTCATGTACATATTTAATTGATGATGGTATAATATGTGAATGATGAAAACCTATTCGTGGGGCACTAACAGAAATAAGCGCAATATCTCCTTTTGAAAAGAGAAAAACTCCTTGTGCTTCATTTTTCTTCTTATGAATGTAGTGCTCATTTTTCTCATATTAGAAGACAATCTAGAATATATTGTGTGTACAAAGAATTTTTATGTTTGAAAATCAGACATTAGAGAGGATTACAGAAAATCAGACATTGAAAATCTAGAATGTTGTTTTTTATTGCATATTTTAAAGCTATTTTTAAGAGAAAGCATATATATATATGTACCATCAATTTTCCTTTATTTAGCATGATAAATATATAAATTTTAAAACTATTTAATTGGTAAAATGTGGATTTACAAATAATTTGGGTTCTTGGCAAAAACTATTGAAGATCATCACACAAAATAATATCATATTAATTTACTTCAGTGTTTAGGATTCAGGTGTTAGTTAGGACATGTTTATACTTTCTCATATGTGGCATCATAATCAAGAAAGTATTTTTTTTCTCCTCACATAATAGTTTTATCATTTCCTATAGTGGCATGTCTTTCAATTGTATGAAACCTTTAGTATGTGATGATGGTGGTACACATGACATATTTTTAATCTACTACCTTGACCAAAACATCAAATTGTGTGATTTTATTGAGTTTTAGGTGAACTAGGCCTTTAAAAAAAAAGTTAGTTGCCCTATCTTTAGTTTAATTTTTACAATAAATAATTTTTAATGATTTGGGCCTAGTGCGTAATGTCACTCACATCGCACTAAGGAACAATGCTCTAGGCGCAGAACCCTGCTGCCGCAGTGAAATCATGCAAGAGTACCATACGTGTGCCAGAGGTGTGCGTCGATATGGTGTGGGATGTGTGGAGTGCATAAGACCTGTAAGCAAATGTGTGTAATATAAGCGGATGATACCAACTAGCCGAGGTGAGGTTCAAGGAAGCATCTACATGCATAAGCACACATGCCAACGTGGTGTGTGGTACTGATAGAGCATAGAAGGCTAATGCACAGGCGTGTACGATTCAGGTCCAAAATTCTGTTAGGAATTGTGTTGATCTTGAATTGAGTTTCACTAGAGTGGGTATGAGCTTGGCCATTCATTAGGGGATGGCTGCACCGCCTATTCTTTCTCATGCTCCAAGCTGTTAAACCATCCCATCAAGGATTAGGGCAACAAAATCTCAGGGAAGAAGTAAGGATTAGCTATCGGTGTCCTTTAGGAATATCACGAGATTGCAGCCTCAGGGGAGTGTGTTGGAGGAATGCACACCCTTTTTGGTAGCAAGTGCTTCAACCTAGTTGAAAGGGTTGCTTGGTTGGCGTCAATAGAGCCATGACGAAGAGAGGGGGACCTTCAAGGGAACCATATGAGGAGGATGGCACGGAAAGGGAAGAGCGCAACAAGACACAAATATTCCCCCCCTCCCCCACACACACATGTTGAGTGAGTCTAAAGGGCTAACATGTGCTAGAGGAGAGCGTTTTATTGGTGGATCGAGTCTCAATACTAACTAGTCTTCGTCCGCTAAGGAAGCGTGAATGATCATCTTGTTCATTGATTCAAACTGACAATTTCAATGGCTAATTTTTATTGACTTTACGGACCATAAACATATAGTAAAATAATGTAGAAATTCATATTCTTGTAGAACTATTTTCATTGATCAAGACTAATTAAATGAATATTTTTATCTTCTCAAAATACCGTGTAAGTCAGTTTGCATGGATTTAGTCATTTTCTTACAACTAAGGCATGGGATTTTACGACAGGACATCTCACGGATTACAATTAAGGTTGCAGACCCGATCTCAGAGCTTGCGCCCGGTTTTTCGTCTGCTAGTCGGCGGCGTGAAGGCCGCCAAAGGAGGCTCTTGCTTCCCCCCTGTGACGGGTCAACGACGACGACGTCGTCGGCCGGCGCGGGAGAGCGCACGTGAGGAAAACACGGGTCGAGGCGAGGGCTCACGCCGCTCACACTCGCGACAGAGACGGCCACATTTTCTCAATTAATGCCTCAGAAAGGATATTATTGTAAAGTCTTTTATTTCGGGATAATCTAAAGTCTCCCTCACTCATCTCTAGAACATTACCCTGTGATCGTTGGCCGAATCTGCGAGCGATATCTCCCCTCGATGCCTGTTGGCTATCATGGGTCGGTGGAAGAGCACACACACACTCTCCCTCTAGCTAGTTACTGAGAAATAATATTATTTATAGTACTTCAAATTATTGGAAACCGCCAAATTATATTTTTATTTATTTATTGACGCCTTTCTCCCGAGTGCATTCAAGTCCACCGGATTCACCCGTCTTAAGTCAACACGAGCGGGATATCCATTGCTTTCTTTTTTCATATCATGTACTAAAGGTGGGGGGCCAGGTCACATGCTAGCCTCGGCTTCATGCTGGGCAGGTGTATATGCGCCCACCGCCGCCGCCGTCGCAGCCCGCCACGGAGTTGAACAAACTCTAGGAGGAGAATCAACTGACGGCCGCATATTCACCATGGCGAAACCCGTTCCTTCCCGTGTTCTAGAAAGATCGGGTTGATACTCGCCCGCCCCTTTAAAATCTCTTGGCTTTCTGCGGCCGGGTTACGGATTTTCCGCGAGGAAGGTGGAGAACCCACCCATAAAACTCCAGGGCTCCGAGACTTCGAGGGAGGTGTAGTTCTTAGACTGATTCTGCGCGAATTCCTCGCTCTCTCATTGCGTTTGGTGGATTGGGCAATGGAGTCGCCGGCGCCGCAACGGTTGGGATATCTGCGTCTCTCCGGTGCCCCTCCTCCGGCCGCGTTGAGATTTCTTTAGGCGTCGATCTCGCTCTTTCTTTCTCTCTCTCTCCCCTGTTTGTTCTTCTCCGGCCGGCGGCGGCTCGCCGGAGAGAGAATAGGTTGGGAAAGATGAGTGTGGAGAAGTCCCAGGTGTGGCAGCCCTGGAAGAAGAAGAGATCCTGACGAGCTCCACCCTCCCGCGGCGTTCGCTTGTGAGGCAGGTGTAACTGTGTGGGTGGTGGAGGAGAGAACGGAGAAGATGAAGGGTGGAGAAGGGACAGCGGCTGCGTTGACCGGGGTGAGCAGGGTGGGAAAGTACGAGCTGGGAAGGACGCTTGGGGAAGGAACCTTCGCGAAGGTGAAGCTCGCTCGGAACGTGGTGACGGGGGAGAACGTTGCCATTAAGATCCTCGACAAAGAGAAGATCCTCAAACACAAGATGATCGGCCAGGTTCGTCTTCTTGGTTCCTTCCTCTTTCTCTGTCTCTCTCTGTCTCTCTCTGTCTCTCTCTCTTTCTGTGAAACATGGAAACTACCAAGTTCATCTTAGAATGTTGATTTCTGCCATCCCTTTCTACCTGTTCTTTATTTTATTTTCTCCCATGATTTATTTGACTCTATGAAAACCATGATGGTGATTTCTAACGAGTGATGGACAATTTTCTTCGTGAAACCGTACTATTATTGGCACAAGAAAGGAAAAGAAAAAAAGAAGTCCGCGTTTCATGCTCACGTTCACATATCAACCAACCAAGGGATCCTCTGCACGGTAGAATAATGATGAGAATTCACTAATTTTTAACCTAAAATCTCCATCATCCCTGCTCCTCCCATTCACGGCTTCGATGGGAATTTAATAGCTTTCATGCAGAAAATTCTCAATCCTATTCTATTCTGGTTGCTGTCGTTCTGAGTGTTTACGAGGAAATTAAGATTTTCATATTTGGGCCCAGCAGATCAAACGGGAAATCGCAACTATGAAACTAGTCAGGCATCCAAACGTCATTCGAATGTATGAGGTGAGTTTGGGCTATTTACTTCCTTCTCCATGTCCAGCTCCATCACGGTGGCCACTCTGACCACTGAGCATCTGTTGGATGTGCAGGTGCTGGCCAGCAAGACGAAGATATACATAGTCTTAGAATTCGTGACCGGAGGTGAACTTTTTGACAGGGTAAGTGTGGCGTGGGCACATATGATGCTGATGAATTGAAGTGTTCTTGGGGGCCCTGAATTTCGCTAATTAGTTCCTGACCTGGAGTTAGATTTCTCATGGGAGGCTCAAAGAAGACGAAGCTAGAAAATATTTTCAACAACTCATCTGCGCGGTGGACTACTGCCATAGTAGGGGGGTTTTCCACAGGGATCTGAAGGTATAAAACGTTGCTCCTGAATATTTTTCAGTAGAACCTTCAAATGATGTCTCTCGATTATTTCAACTCTGATTTAAAATAAGATTTTTTTTCTGTCGTAGCCTGAGAATTTGCTGCTGGATTCGAAGGGTGTACTCAAAGTCACTGATTTTGGGCTCAGCGCCCTGCCTCAGCAAGTTCGGGTGAGTCCCGGTTGAATTGGTTAACTGAGCGCAGTATGATCTTTTTTATCAATCATGTTTAGGGAAATTTCTTAGACTTTCACCATAATGAGGAGGTTCCTTCAATGGGTTTTCTTTCATTCAGTGGCATGCCCACCACGTCTTAGTTTTGGTCCCATCGATCATTGGGTGTCAAAGGTTCGTGGCCAAGCATCTTAGAGATCGCGGGTAGGGGGCCAGAGACATAGTCATAATTTTTCTTTCAAAAATATCGTCCAGCTAGCTGTTTCGAATGCAGAATATTGATGCCCTGCTAAGTCTGTTCACATAGGCAGCTTTCTATTGATCGATGGGTGGCAATTAGTGACATTAGCCTTCCCACAGTTGCCATATTCTTTCAAGGCAGCAGGATGGCGGGTGGGCACAGCTAAGATTCGATGTTCTTCCCGCAAACTGGATGACCAGTGCCATGGATGGATGGTCTTCCATTTATCGAACTGGTCTCTACTATTCAGTTGAATACCATCGTTTCTGATCTGCCTCTTCCTACTCTTCTTTTCTTCTTCTTATTTTCAGGAGGACGGTTTACTTCACACAGCATGTGGAACACCGAATTATGTCGCTCCTGAGGTACCCTTGCCATCCTCTGTCCGCTGATACGAGTTTTTAACAGATCATGTTTCTCTCAGTCTCGCATGTTTTGCTGAACTCATATGTTGATTTTTTCTGTTTTGAAGGTGATCAACAACAAGGGCTATGATGGCGCCAAGGCGGATCTTTGGTCGTGTGGGGTGATCCTCTTCGTCCTGATGGCTGGGTATTTGCCTTTTGACGACCCCAATCTCCCGTCCCTGTACAAAAAGGTATTTGTACACTTACGACTGAGATGCTGATTTCCAACGGCATTTGGGACCCGGAATCTGGATGCTTACTTCTCCTGCCGTGGTTGACCGCAGATCTTCAAGGCGGATTTCAGCTGCCCCTCTTGGTTCTCCACCAGCGTTAAGAAACTCATAAAGAGGATGCTGGACCCCAATCCTGAGACCGTAAGTCAAAAGTCAACCTTCTGATGCGATGCCCAGTCAACATATCCATGTTTTGGGTCCGAAAGAATTTTCTTTCTTATCTTCTCGCTTGGATTCTTTGCAGCGGATTAAGATTGCAGAGGTCGTAGAGAATGAGTGGTTCAAGAAGGGTTATCAGCCGCCTGCTTTCGAGACATCGGACATCTCTCTTGACGATGTGCACGCAGTTTTCAATAACTCTCTGGTAGTCCTTCGCATCACATCTTCGTACTCATATTCATAGAAATGAGTATATATATATATATAGTGGAGATTGTGGTCATGAATGACGTCTAACCTTGCTTCGGTTCATAATATTCAGGCTCCTATAAATCTCGTCGTAGAGAGGAGAGAAGAAGGTCCGGTGCCAATGAACGCGTTCGAGCTCATCGCCACTTCCCAGGGTCTCAATCTCGGCACCTTATTTGAGAAGCAGTCAGCGGTAAGCTAAGAAAATAAATGAATCTAATAACTGAATTCTTGCTGTTTTTATCCCATCTAGTCCAAAATCATAGCGTGTTTAATTCATAATTACGGTAGGCTGCTGTCAAGAGCAAGACCCGGTTCGCCTCAAAGCATCCCGCTGGGGAGATAGTCTCCAGGATCGAGGAGGTGGCGAAGCCACTGGGATTCAACGTGGAGAAGCAGAACTACAAGGTCCTTCTCCGCTCTTTCTTATGCTTCACCCCTCCGTTCTCTTCATAGTCCCGTCGGAAATTCACGCGGCTTCCTTCCTGCTTGTTCTCTGCGACCCAGCTGAGGCTGCAGAGAGAGAAGACCGGACGGAAGGGCCACCTGTCGATCTCCACGGAGGTATGCGCCTTTCTCGCTCATCATCGATGGAGGAGCACCGAGCGGAGCCGTTTGCCCACCTCTCTGCACTCATTTCTGCAGGTCTTCGAGGTGGCACCGTCGCTGTACATGGTCGAGCTCCGCAAGGCCAATGGCGACACACTCGAGTTCCACCAGTTCTACAACAGCGCCGCTGTCGGGCTCAAGGACATAGTCTGGGAGCCCAGCGGGGAGAGGAAGGAGGAGCCCACGAGGAACCCCGCGTAGCCGAGCTGCGCCAACTGCGACTGCTCGGCTACGATCAGATTACGGTAGATAGTCTCTCTGTATGTCAGTCGATTCAAATTCTTGCTGATTAGCCTAACTGACTGTCGCATCTATTAGGAGATTTAATCGCGTATCAAATCGAAATCTTAGATCTGGATCTGGCTTCTTCTCATGCTCCATTTATTAGATAAGATTATGTTCATAACACAAGGTATAAATAAATTCGTTCATGAATGAGGTTGACTGAGTTTTGATGCTTGCTCTCGTGGGAAGGAGCTCAACTGGTCTTGAGAGAGATAGAGAGAGAGAGAGAGAGCTTAGGCGATCTCGGATGGGCCCGTGAAATCTCTGGCAAGCCAATGTGTCGGCCACGTGGCATCACCATTACGGCAGCAGATAAGGAGATCAGGCGCCACCCATACGGACCCTCCCTGAAAGTACGAGGGAGGGACGGAGGCAGGGAGAGAGAGAGAGAACATGGCTGCCCTTCACTCGCTCCGATTCTCTCCCAAACCGTCGCCGCTGTCAAGGGGCAGCGGCCAGCAAGGCGGCACGAGCCTCTGCGCCGCCAAGCCCCCCGCCGTGAAGCTTCCCAGCGCCTCCATCGTCCACAACAACAGCCAGGATCCCCTCCTTCCGCTACCGGATCTCCCCGCTCCGCTGAAGGAGAAGATCCTATGCCTGGAGATGATGGGCATCGACTCAGGGCGAGCTCTCTCCCTCAACCCTTCCCTCCGCTCTGCCCCCATCGACTCCCTCCATGCCGTCGTCTCCTACCTCCTCTCCAAGGGCGTCCACCACAAGGACATGGGTCGCATCTTCGGCATGTGCCCCGGAGCACTCACCGCCGACGTGCGGCGGGACCTAGCCCCCGTCTTCCGGTTCCTCGCCGGCCAGCTCGGCGTGCCAAGCACCGGGTTCCGGCGGGTAGTGAACAAGTGTCCGCGGCTGCTGGTATGCAGCGTCCCAGAGCAGCTGCAGCCGGCGCTGATCTTCCTGCGGCGGCTGGGCTTCTGGGACATGGAGGCGCTGGCATACCAGGACCCGGTACTCCTGGCGTCGAGCGTGGAGAGGACGCTGCTGCCGAAGCTGGAGTACCTGGCGGGGGAGCTGGGGTACGGAAGGGAGGAGGCGGCGGCGATGGTGGTGAGGTGCCCAGCGCTGTTCACCTTCAGCGTGGAGAACAACTTCCGGCCAAAGCTCGGTTACCTCGTGGGGGAGATGGGGAGGTCCGTGGAGGAGCTGAGGGAATTCCCCCAGTACTTCGCTTTCAGCCTGGAGAAGAGGATCAAGCCCAGGCACCGCCAGATGGAGGATCGCCGCCTCCGGCTCTCCCTGCCGGAGATGCTCAGAACGACAGACCAGGAGTTTGCGCTCCTCCTTCACAGGGCCGGCGACAAAGGAGCCATCTTTCCTCGTCTAGAATGAGGGGGGAGACATCTGCGAGGACTGGCAGTCCATCGCTGAGATCATCACATCTCTCTCTCTCTCCCTCTCGAAACCTGTAAGATATACGATCGATCGTCCGTAATTGCTAGAAACGGTGAATCGACACTGTTGAATAACAACTGTACATGTAGGAACCTATTTACACACAAAATGAAAAATATTGACAAAAGATAACGGTGATTTCTTTCGCCGCGGACAAAAAACAGTGTGTATACAAAGGGATGAGCTTTCGTGAAGAAATCAGGAAGCTACAGGAACGAAGAAACAAGAGCCAGCATTAAATTTACTTCTGCATAAGATAACGTATTGAAGAGTAAGCATTCGTTTGACCCATAAAGTGGGGAAGGCGGCCTAAATCTTTCAAGTTAAATATCGACGAAGTTGTTAGTTTCAGGAGCCATGATTGCTCCGAAATTTTATGATGAGACTAGGATCAATATGTCCAGAAAAATCAATCTGTTTCTTCACCTAATTATAACGACTTATCAATTCCTATTTTCCATAGAATCCCTAAGTATGGGAATATTTTATATTTTTTTGTGGTTAAACTTGTGATAATGACAACTTGCAACTCAAGGGAACTTATCTATGTAATCAATAATTGGCCATTCTATAGTTGTGAATTCAGAGAGAGTTTTAGGTGGAACTCTATGGGAACTGAGCTTATATAATCAGTAGTCAAGCACTAAGTGATTACTTGAACTCAATGATGAGATATCATTGGAGATTGGAATAAGTGGAAAAGATTAAATCACTATAAAATTCCTTACATCTATAACTAACTGATTTGTGGAATTATGGAAAGTGAAGGAATCAAAAGAGGAAAAGAATAGAACATTGTATTAGACATATTCAACCCCCCTTTCTTGATGTATCTAGTGCCTTACGTACTACATAGGTTGTTGTTTCACAAGGTGATCATGACTAGAATTTTTATTAATGAGTACTTAAAAATGAGTATGCATAGAAAGATTATTGAGATTATGATCAAACTTTAAGAATTACATGAAAGAAAAGATAGAAAGAAAACTGCTCTTGTCATCATCTACATGAGCTGCAATCATTCTTATAACTCTTCAATACTACCATCGTCAGTATCTAGGTTAAAACAGAATACTATGCACTTATCAAGGATTGTTTCCCTATCATTGATATAGAGAGGTTCCTGAAATGGGGAAAATTAACAATATTTAAAAAAAAATTAGAAACTGGTTCAATCTAACCCTGTAGACATATGAAGAAGCTAGCTTTTGAGTTAGGTGAACCATGACAATAGCAGACTCAAGCTCTTGTGACTTTTGGGGAGAGTCCTTACCACCCACCCCGTTTGGAGAGTACTCAATGAGAAAACACAAGGGAGACCATTCCACAAATGGAGAAACATACTTTGAAGATAGCTCTTGGTGCATTGTTGAATCCCTTGTAGTGTGACCGATGAACATATCCCTAATAGTATTCACTTGACACACTATAAGGGAAAAAATATAGTGTTGTTTACACTCTACTTGTCATTTAAACTAACTTTGTATTGTCAATGACTACTTATTATTCATATGTTATAAATGAATTCTCAAATGGATGGAGTTCTAAAAATGCCTTCGTATCTTTTCTTATGAGTCTTTGGCATCTTCTACATCATGTTTGTCATCTTCAGCATGCTTAATATGTGGTGTAAAAATCCCATTGTATTTTCTGTAACTCTTTCTTAGAGCATATTGCTGAATAAAGCTCTTGAGAACAAGATGAGCCTTACAATACTTTAGAAACCCATCATAAGAGAATTTTACTTTATTTTCTCTTTGTAATTTTCACTGATGTAGTGATAGAATTGACTAAAATGGAACTTAGACTCAACTTGGAATCACTAACCTCAATCTAGAAAGCAACAGTTTCTTAGGATTAATATTATGAATTATGAAAGACATGTTTAAGGGTCTCAAACTATAGGCACATTAGTAACTCATATGATGAAGAAAATTCTTAAATAAATAAAAACTAGGGTTGTACCTTTCAAGGATTGAAGGTTCTACTTAATTGTGTAATTAGTGTCGGCAATATTATGTTTATACAGTTTTCTTGAAGAAAGGAGGTGTTTTAATCCTGCATGGTTAGGTGGTTGCATAAAATCCCAATGAGAAGATAAGAATAAGGAGAATCTCATCCATGATTTGTAATTTTCTATAATGGTATTTTCATCGAAGCATTTGCAAGAAGCTTAGATATACCATATCATTATTGTATTTAATTTTTCACATATTTCTTTCCTATAATATAAAAGAAAGAAATGCTCTAGCTGATATGTTGACCGTACAATCATTTATTAGAAAGAAAGATAAAACATATAATTTTTCTTGTAAAAATGTGAAACAATTTCTACATTGTAAACTTAACTGGTATAAACTTAACTCATATAAACATAAAAAAACGAGTTAGTGTACTCAAAGTCTATTGTCTTTTCTTTCTATTCTTCAAAGGAAAAGAAATGCTCTAGTGGATGTGTTGACTGTAAAAGTAATTCTTGCTAAAAGGATGAAAATAGAAACATGAACATTGTACTTATAGTAATGTGAAACCAATTTCATGTCAAAAAGTTATTGAAGCACAAATAGTAGGTTGATGGCAAGATCAATATATCTTTACAACAATTTTTGTCATACGAGTACTATAATACTGTGGGTGACATAATTCTCTAACAAAAAAAATCAGACTAAGTCACTCGATGCAGATCATTAGTGATCATGAGTTTCATAAGACCACTTTCAATCATAAAGGTTTTTGTTTGCCCATTTGAGGTCATAAGGGTTTCCTTCGTGCCTGCCCTATTTTGTATGCAGTGTAGGGTCTAAGTCCACAGACTTCTGCTGACTCATAAATCAATGAATGTACTTTTCACTGATGTACTGACTAATTCCTTGTTATGTGTTGTCTTTTAGGCTGGCCAAATCATGTACTGATATTACTCGGGGATAACCCAAATTACCCGAGCTATTTTTTGTGCTGGTGTCTAATCTATGATGGTTGGATTATTGGGGTGGTGTTTCATGTCATTTAACGATATTGTCTAAGGCCTTCTCCGCCTTGGTCTGTTGTTCAAGATGGAAATGGATTTATCTGTGGCTTATGGCATGCTATTTTCAGTTGAGAAATTCATGCTTGTTCTTGGTTTTATGTGGAAATCTCATGCCATAATTATTCCTACTTGGATACCTCTTATTTTTACGGGTTGCCGGAGGTTGATGTGTCGGTAAACTTTAACGAAAAGTAGTATGTATCGCTCGAGTAAATGTGATAAGATTATAATAATTCGATTTTTGAAGACACCAGCTTCTGCTCGCCTCCCGGCGGGGACGTCCAAAGAACGGGGAGAAATGTCGCCCGTCATCGGAGGTCCAGAAGAGGTGCGAGATGGAAAGTCGTCGGACGACGTGGATTCGACCGGGCCAATTTCATCGGGGATCCAGGGTGCTGTGCGGCGTTGTTGAATGGTGATCAATCGGTCAATGCAGCTGGAAACTTGGACGTCGTCGATCGAGTCGCCCCAGTGGTCATTCGATTCAAACTTTGACCAGAGGGTTCTGGTCAACGCCGTAGCCAATATAGACTCGGAGGGAATCCCCCTCTTCTCCATTCAAACCTCCATCTGCCTAAAACTCCAGAGAGCCCCCAGGCATCCTAAGATCTCTCTCTCTCTCTCTTGCCCTCTCTCGCTTTCACGCTGTTTTCTTGTAGATTGATCGAGATGCCGTGCTTCGTGCCGTTCAACGGAAAGAAGATGGATCTGAGCTTCTTCGTGTTCCGGCACGTTGGTGTGTTCGCGGAGGAGCTAATCGAGGCGCTCAAGTTCTTCTCCTTCTTCTGCGAGGATCTCGGCTGCATCTACAGCGCCACCTTCAAGAGCATCCATGGTAACATGGTAAGCCGTGTAGGGTACCTTCTCCTTCTTCGCGGCCGAATTCTCTGTTGGGCAGAGTTGTTTAAACTTTTTTTCTTCCTCCCTTCCTGATTAGATTGTCTGGTATGGAGCGTGGGTAAAGAGACCCGATGCGCAGAGGAGGTTGCTCATCGATCACCTGGTATGGTCCTCTGCAACTTCAAATGTTGGTTTTTAACCAAGAATTTATTTTTTGCTGCCTGAGAGAGAGAGAGAGAGGGAGAGGGAGGGAGAAAGGGAGGGGGAGAGATAAGTAGATAGATAGGTATATATATATATATCAAGAGAGAGAGAGAGAAACAGAGAAACAGAGAGTGTGTGTGTAAGAGAGAGAATGAAATTTAGCTACCATGTATTTTAACAGTGCTTTCAATTCAATCTTCTCACACCGAGAAACCCTATTCTCAGATATCGGTGTTAGAGAAGGTCTCGCACTTGGCCGTCCTTCTTGACCACGGGTTCTTCGAGTCGTACGTTGGGGAATCCAAGGACGGCCGCAGCGCCCTCAGATTTGTGACCGGCGACACAGTGTCCATGGCGGCGATGACTCCCATCTCCGGCGACCCTGAGAACCTCTCCTACGCCTGCATGGCCCTGCTCAAGTCCTACTACCTGCAGGAGGACGGCGTAGCGGGGGGCGCCTGCTTCAGCTGCCTGGACAAGCCCATGGTAGCGAGCATGCAGGTATGGAAGTCCCTCCACGACTGCTACGCCTGGCTTATCAACTCCGACTACAGAACCAACATCCGCCCCTACCTCTCCCACCTCGCCAACGACTGCGAGTACGAGGTCTTCAACGTCGTTTTCGTGAGCTCCGACGAGCTACTCCCCGTCCAGCTGCTCCCGTCTCCGGCGAAGATGATCGACCACAGCTCCATTGAAGGTGAAGATGAAATGGGTGGAATGGAGCAAGCGGAATCCTCCTCCTAGAGAGCAAAACCTCCACCTCCACCTCCTTTCTTGAAAGAGAGAGAGAGAGAAAGAGAGGGAGGAGGGATAGTTTTGCCAGAAGTAATTGATCTTCTGGAGAGAACCATTTTGAAGACAGACTTCCTTTGAGAGATTCATGGTTGGATGTATGTAGATAGACAGATAGATAGATAGATAGATAGAGAGAGAGAGAGAGAGAGAGAGAGAGAGAGAGAGAGAGAGAGAGAGAGAGAGAGAGGCTGTAAATTCTCCGTGAGTTTCGTGTCACAGAGTTCTAGACCTGGTTTGGTCCTGTAAGCAGAATAAAAGGGCCTTTGTGTATGGGCCGAACTGGACATCTAAAAATGGGGCTCGGGGATTCAGACGCTACGGAGGGATAAACTACGCCTTTTGAATGAAAAAGGGATAGTTTTGATGGAAGAAACTTGCGAGGAGTATCCTTCCAAGACGCTCCCGTACCGGCAACAGTCACTGGGAAGAACTATGTAAATGTATAAGGGAGGCTGTAAACTAAAACTAATCCTTAAACGGAAACTGGAAAGACACCCGGAAGACTAATCTAAAAGCCGAAACTAGGCAAGAAAGATAGAGGGAGGATAACGAAACAGAGACAGAAGACTAAACCGATTAGGGAGGGAAGACGGAACCCAAGATAAGAGCTAAAAGAGGGGCGGGGGCACTAAAGAAGGAGAACCTCCTACAGAAGTAAAGAACCATACAAACTTGAGAGTACTGGTCGACAGTATGGAGTACTGACCACACCGAGGGACAGACCCTGAAGCGAAGGAGGGGAACGAGCGGAATCAATGTGTTCCAATTTCTGGCCTCGCACCTACCATCCAATGGACCATGGACTAAACGGCCACTGCCTTCAAGGACTATGTCCAGGGTACCGCCGCCCCCCCACAAGGTACATCTCGCGCCTATGGGCCGCTATAACTATCCAAGAGGACACTCAAAATGAGAACCCCGGAAGGCCCAGCAAAGATAGCCCAATTGGCTTCTCTTGGCGTGGTCCAACCACCTCTGTGGGTCCCCTTCTCATGTGCCGGGAGGCCCACTCTGCGCCTCGCTGTCGGCGCCATCACGTGCTCACGTGCGTTCTCCCCGCGGAGATGACGCGATCTTTCCGAGGGGCCTTGGGGGCGTCGGCAAACGTCCTATTAACGCGGACAGTTCGCCAGCTGTCCCCAATGACAGCTACACACGAAAATCGGTGGGCCCCAAGCGAGACAACGAGCCTCTTGATGAGGGGCATTTCCGTCCACCCCCCCCCCGCGCCGCATAGACGCACGTTATCCGTTCCTGTCGTATTCTAAAAATAAACTAAATAGGAGCCGAAACAGGGTCAAGTGAATAGACCCATCGGATGCCGCCCATCCGCAGGTTGGCTCCCAGACGGCGGCATCTCCACTGTCCGTTCCCATCCTCCGAGTGGTGATCCCTTTCCTTCTGTAGTAAAAAAAAAAAGGCACGTGTTGGTCTGTGAGGAGAGAGAAAGGATGTGACGGGCTTTGCCTTTCCAACGGCTATTCTCTCCCCCTTGCGGGCGCGGCAGTTATTAGATCTTCTGCCCCCTCCCCTAGCGGCTGCTCTGCCCTGCCGACTCGTTGCTCTTCTGTCCGTGAACGCCCGCCCTTTATAAATCCCGCCCCCCGTCGTCCTCTCTCATCGGCCATTCTGTCACTAACCCTAGACTCAGGGGAAGCCCTCTTCCTCCTCTTCCGCCTTACCCCTGTTGTTGTTGTACTGTAGGGTGAGGGGAGATGGAGATCAGCTCGTTTCTGACGTCCTTCGGTTCGTACTTGGCCATCTTCGTGGTGCTGATGCTGCTGTTCATTTGGCTGTCGGGGAGGCCAGGAAATGAGGTCGTGTACTACCCCTCCCGGGTGGTCAAGGGGTTGGACCCCCATGAAGGCCGGCCGAAGACCTTTAACCCCTTTTCATGGATCCGGGAGGCGGTGGGGGCGTCCGAGGACGAGGTCATAGCCATGGCCGGCGTCGACGCCGCCGTCTACCTCGTCTTCCTCGGCACTGGTAATGGAAGTCCAACCAACTACTGCAACATTTCGCCTTTCTCTCTGTTTCCTTTCGCTTTATTTCGATTTTTTTGCCAAAATTTAGCTCCTGCTCGTGGGAATTCTCTGAATATTCAAATTCTCCGCCACTACGCTCGAGGGATTTCTCTGTGACTAAGTTTCGGTACAATTCCTTGGTGGTTGCGTCGAAGCGTGATAGTCTTTCTTCTTTTGTTGTGGTCGTGCTTGAATTGCGTCGATCCCTTCACTTCTCGGACACAGAGATTTCCCTATTTCAGAACGAACGGATCTCTTCTTTTCCCTTGGACGATTGACTTTTGGTGATCCTGATTTTCTCTTCTTCTCCTTCTGACCTTCGTTCTGCTGGGGTTGGTTCCTCCCGTCCTCATTAAGCCTCCGGCTGGTTGACCTGGTCGAGCCTTGGAACTTTGCTTCCGTGAAGTCTACTGTGCCTGTGTGGGTGGAGCTTGGGTTCTTGAGCTTTGATGTATTGGAAAGGAAAATCAGATTGGATTCGGTGATTTGTGTTCACATGAAATTGCTTTACCTTCTTAGGTTGCGACCAGCCGCAATTTCTTTTATGGCGGCCGATGGACCCACTTTTGTTATTGTTTGCGGGAAAACAAATTCTTCCGGCATTGGAAACTCTTTTTTTCTTTATTTATTTCTGACGAGAGCATTTTAAAATTCCCCTGTGAGTCACGTTTTTATTTGACATTTTCGTTCTTTTCCTTTTTTATTCCACCTCACCGTGGGTGTTAGGTAGCATAGAAACCCAGCAAGTAGGTTTCCTGGGGAGTGGGACTATCTGTGTTATCTGTGTTATCTGTGCTGGGGGATTCGTTGACTTCCACAGTCATCTGCATGAGGCTCTCTAAACTTGGTTCCCTGTTGATGGGTAGAAAGCATTTTCTACGGAAGGGGAAGGGCGTTAGATCCGGTTGACCGAATAGTCATATTTCTTGACGCTGGGAATTATTATGCTTTATGTATACATATATATACAGATATATTCTGCATTAATGAGTCTCCATCTAATAAAGTAGGTACTTTTGGTTATTTTTCTGACGCTTCCACCATGGAAGGACTTTAGATCGCGTTGACCGAATAATCATATTTCTCGACGCTGGGAATTACTGTGCTTTTGAGATTTATTTTTTCTGCATAAACGAGTCTCCATCATAAAGCAGCCGCTTTTGGTTATTCTTCTGACACTTCAACCGTGGACTTTTTCTTTTCCTGGCGCTGCCTCTTCTTCTTCTCCCCTCTCCCCCCCAAGAAATGGCATCAAGCCAGCCACTACTCCGCTCTATATGCCAGACAATAGATATACTTATGGGGACAAGAACACACAATAATAATGGCACTGCGGAGATCATCAAGTTCTTTGCTTTCTCTGGAACGGGCACTGCTTTTCCTTCCTTTATCTTCTTGTTTGGAATATTTTAATCCTTAATGATTCCGCTGTGTTCCCCTTTTTGTCTCTCCGTCTTCCTTGATGATGGTTTGGGGTTGGGATTTCAGTGATGCTCATGCCTTTTTTCTTTTAAAATTAACTGTCAATTATCTTTTTATATGTATAGTTACTCGAGGTATCCATCTCATTCGTCCTCCATTTTTTGATGCTTCCAGCACTGGGGATTCTGGTTCTCTCTGGCCTCGTGTTGCTACCTGTTCTTCTTCCAGTGGCGAGGACTGACAACAACTTGGCCCTCAGTAAGAACATAACCTTCAACGACCTCGACAAGCTTTCGATGGGAAACATTAAGGTACGGATCGGATTATCCCCTCTCAGAACCTGGATTGTTATATCAGTTTCCTGGACGGATGAGATATTATTATTTGAATAATTTCCTTTTAATAATGGTGCAAAAATATCTGTCGAATAAGGTTTTTTTCTTTGAATTATTATAAAGTGGTAGCCATGTTGAAGCTATTTAAGATTAATCATATTGGAGTCGTATTTCTTTAAAGGAAGAAATTCTTCCGGATCTCTTTCGTAAATACTCAAGGAGATTTTATTTTTTTTATCATTCTCAGGAGAAGAGCCCAAGGTTGTGGGGATTTCTTCTGGCGACGTACTGGGTCTCTTTCGTCACATTCTACGTCCTGTGGAGAGCTTACAGCCACGTCTCGAATCTGAGGGCCACCGCCAAGGCGAGCTCTGAGGTGAAGCCCCAGGACGTCGCCCTGCTGGTGAGAGACATCCCCCCCGTCCCCAAGGGGCAGACCAGGAAAGAGCAGGTGGATGACTACTTCAGAAACCTTCATCCTGACACCTTCTACCGATCGATGGTCATCACAGACAACACCCAGGTATCCCTCTCTCTCTCTCTCTCTCTCTCTCTCTCTCTCGCGCTACTGGTGAATGATTTTTACAAGGTGTTTGTCTGTTGCAGGCGAACAAAATCTGGGAAGAACTGGAGGGTTACAGAAAGAAGCTGGTCCGCGCCGAGGTAGTGTTCTCTGGGTCGAAGACGGCGGCCAAGCCCGAGGGGCAGAGGCCCATGAACAGGACGGGTTTTCTTGGGCTGGTGGGGAAGAAGGTGGACACCATCAACTTCTGCAACGAGAAGATCAAGGAGCTGGAGCCCAAGCTGGAGGCCGAGCAGAAGGTCACCCTGAGGGAGAAGCAGCAGAATGCGGCGGTCGTGGTGTTCAACAGCATGTCGGCGGCGGTGGCAGCCACCCAGACCCTCCACGCCCAGCTGGTCGACACGTGGACTGTCTCCGAGGCCCCCGAGCCGCGCCAGCTGCTGTGGTACAACCTGCCGAAGAGATTCTTTGAGCGGAAGGTGCGGTCGTTGATCGTCTACGTGATCGTCTTCCTGGCGGTGGTCTTCTACATGGTCCCCATCACCTTTATATCCGCCTTCACCACGCTGGCCAACCTCAAGAAGTACCTCCCCTTCATCAAGAGCGTGGTGGACATTCCCGCCGTGAAGAGCGTGCTGGAGGCGTACCTGCCGCAGATCGCGCTCATCGTGTTCATGGCGCTGCTGCCCAAGTTCCTGCTGTTCCTCTCCAGGGCGGAGGGGATCGCCTCGGAGAGCCACGTCGTGAGAGCCGCCTCGGGGAAGTTCTTCTACTTCATCATCTTCAACGTCTTCCTCGGGGTGACCATTGGAAGCACGCTGTTCGCCTCCTTTAAGGAGATCGAGAAGAAACCCAACTCCATCGTGCCCTTGCTGGGGAGCAGCCTGCCCAAGAGCGCCACCTTCTTCCTCACCTTCGTCGCCCTCAAGTAACGATCTTATCCTCCTTTCTCTCTACTCATTTTCATTCATTCGACCTTGCCCACTTTCTCTCCCTCCCTTGGTCCATCGTATTCTCTCTGTCTACCCATCTGATTCTTTTTGCTAATTTCGAAGGAACGAAGCAATTTTGACGGGCATTAACTCATCGGGTTTGATGAGTTCTCCTGACTTTTTCTGATGATGATGATGATCATCTCAGGTTCTTCGTCGGATACGGGCTTGAACTCTCCCGGGTGATCCCTCTGATCATCTACCGTCTGAAGAGGAGGTTCCTCTGCAAGACGGAGGGCGAGATCAAGCAGGCGTGGGCCCCCGGTGCCCTCGGCTACGCCACCAAGGTCCCCAACGACATGCTCATCGTCACCATCGTCCTCTGCTACTCCGTCATTGCCCCCCTCATCATCCCATTCGGCGTCCTCTACTTTGGCCTCGGCTGGCTCGTCTTCCGCAACCAGGTCCGAGCTCATATCTCCATCTCTCTCTCTCGCGCTCTCTCTCTCCACTGGGCTGACCATTCTTCTCCCTCTGGGCAGGCGCTGAAGGTGTACATCCCGGAGTACGAGAGCTACGGGAGGATGTGGCCGCACATCCACACGAGGATGATCGCGGCGCTGATCATCTACCAGGTGACGATGTTCGGCTACTTCGGGGTGAAGAAGTTCGTCTACGCCCCCTTCATGCTGCCGCTGCCGGTGCTGTCCTTCGCCTTCGCCTTCATCTGCAATGCCCGCTTCTACAAGGCCTTCGATCGCGTGCCCCTGGAGGTCGCCGCCAGCCACAAGGCCAAGCAGACGCCTAACCTGGAGGCCCTCTTCTCCGCCTACATCCCCCCCTGCTTGAACTCGGGCGACAAGTTCGACGACGCAGACCAGTTCGAGGATGCCCGATCGCAGCCCGCCTCGCGGACGACGTCCTTCGCCTGAAATATTAGGTCTTTTTAATTTCCCCATGTACCTATCATCTACATCATCAGTCTCAATACTTTCTCCTCCTCCCTGGTCTGGGTCTGCTCTTTCTCTCTCTCTCTCAATTTCTCTCAAGAAGTAGCGACAGTGCTTGATGATCTGTATGTATGTACTCTCTTCTCCTCCCTCGTTTGATTGCAAAGAGCCAGGGTCGTCTTCCCTCGTGTAAAGCTTCCATCTTCAACGAGTGAGTCTACACCATTTTTCCTAATAGGAGGAACCTGTCGACAGGGTTCGAAGTATTACACTGATGTGGGAGGAATTATATATTTAACGGGTTCGAATGAATTACATTAAATAAATTTTCCCTGATGGGGGGAAAAAAGGAGCAAAGTATTGTGGATATCGTCTTCTGAAGGATGCAAGCTGGCTGAAAATCACTGCCAGGAAGACAAGGAAATAGGCTCTGGTTCGAGCTGCAGATCTCCTGTAGAGAGAGAGAGAGAGAGAGTATCAGAATGAATCACCCAGAACATCGAACAGAAACACCATTTCTCAACTATAATCGAACAAAACACCCAGATTCGACAATCAAACTGACAAACAGAGATATATATTTAAAGATAGATCTATAGAGAGAAATAGAGAGCAAAAGGCTGAATTTTCTACAATGGGATGAGAGAATACTAACACTTAATGGAGGAACCGGCGAGACATGTAAGCCTGGACTTGGTCTTCGCCTCGGTTAGATGCGGCGGCGGCTTCTCTCCTGAGACCACTCGGGCGTCCCAAACCCTAATGACGCCGTCGGTCGCCGCCGAAGCCAGAAGATGGGGGCCACCAGAGGCCTCGCCGGAGTTTCCGCCGCCGAGAACCACCAGCCCCTTCACGCGGGCCGAATGCGCCTCCTTGATGCTGTAAGCCACCTTCCCGCTGGTTATGTCCCATGCTGTCACGTCTCGTCCCTCTCCGCCGGTAATCAGGACATTATTCTGCGCAGAGCTCCACAGAAAAACCTTCAATTTCTATAAATAGATAGCGAGAGCCTTTTGACTTTGAATCGAATGGGTGTGCTGTCATTTAAGCTAGAGAACTCATGAAAGGGTAATCAATGAGGAACTAAACCACTAATTAGCGAGAAAAGGATGAAAGATTTTATTTTAAATGGCACTCCACGAATTAGTGACGCTAGATCGAGGCAGACAGAAAATGGGGCTTAAAATCGGCAATCGCGCATCATCAACTATGGATGACGATGATGAAGACGATGATTGAGGAAGAACAATGGGGCAAACGAAAAGAAAGGGGGGGGAGTTGCAGGATTACCAGGGCGGGAGCAACACAGAGGACTTTCTTCTCCGCGACGAGCTCGGCGACTTCCCTCGCGTCCTCTGAGTTGTGGACGGAGATCCTCTCTTCCGCCGCCATGAAGAACAGGTCGCCCCCTCCGGCGCTGTACCGCACCACGGACGCCTCCCTGTCCAGCCGGCAGACGAAGCTCCGCCGCCCCCTCACGAGGTTGACCATGGCGAGGCTCGAATCCCCCCGCCCCACGGTCAGCGCCAGGCGGCCGGAGGGGTGCACCGTGAGATCCCCCACGCCGGCGCCTCGCCGGTGGACTCTGCGGACGCTCTTGAGGTGGACGAAGGGGTCGGCATCGTAGATGGAGACGACGCCGCCGTCGGAGCCGGTGACCAAGTTGCGAGGGAAGGAGATCGCCGGCGGGGTGTAGAAGGCGACGGCGGTCACAGCGCCTCCCTGGTCGGTGAGGGAGCCGATCTCGGAGCAGGAGGAGAGGTCGTAGATCTTGACGGCGTCGTCGGCGCCGCCGGAGACGGCGACAGGGCCAGAGACGGCGACGCACTTTATGGAGCTCGTGTGGGAGGGATAGGAGAAGAGTGGCTTCAGGATACAGCCGCCGCCATCCCCATCACCGTCGCCCCCGTCGTCGGCTCCAGAAGGGTTTTGGGAGGAAGTGGGTTTTAGGGTTTTCAGGGAGAAACCCCAGATGAAGCGCTCGTAGGACCCCGCAACCAGAACCATCGCCCCCAGCAGATGAAGTCGGCTCCCTCCTTCCTGGCCCCCGCTGCGGGTTTTAAAAGACCCGTCCGTCTTTGCCACGTAATAGTAATATAATAATAAATAATACACAATTAAGAAAAGATTAAATCCTACATCCGGCGAAAGAGTTGGCATTGCGCGCCAAACGAGCACACATATCGGCCACCTCGACCGACCACTCTGCGCATTATTGCTATAAAATCAATTCAATAACGTCCTCAATTCAACAAGCACGGTGGTGATGCAGGACCAGTTCAAGCGCGCGAATCGAGGTGCACCGTAAATCCAGGCCGCCATCTCTCCGCCTGAGATTTAAGCTACGCACTCTCTAGCTGGGGATGATTTGAGCCTTTACTGCATTTTTGTTTTTCCTTACAAACATGTCCTTGAAATCATCCTGAAAATCATCCGCATCACATGGCTTGTCAGCTAGATGCTCAGATATCATCAGCATGATATGACGTGGAACTGAACAGCGAGAGAGAGAGACGGATTAAATGATGTGAAACAGAGGATTCAGCACGTCAACCGGGCTGCTGACCGGTGAGAAAACAGAGGAACTCAGCGAGGATTTGAACTCAGCGGGGGGCGTCAGCAGGTTTCTTGCCGCCGCCGCCCTGAGATCCCCCACTGCCGCTCTTTCTCCTTGCGCAACCTCTGCTGCTGCTGCTCCCACTCCGCCAGCCTCCGCGCCCTACCCCACGGCGGCACCGCCGCATAAACCCCACCGCCGCCCTTGTCTTCCCTGTTGCTCTGACCGGCGCCCCGCCGGACGAACTGCTGCAGCGGGGGCTTTATGACCACCTTCTTCTGCAGGCTCCTCCTCAGTATGCTGCTGATTCTTCTCGCGCCACCGCTTCTGGCCTGCCCCCGTAGGCCCCCGCCGGTGACAGCGCCGGACAAAGGCGGAGAGACCTCGCCGGCGCCGGCGAGAAGCGTCAGTAGCGGCGCTTCCATGGGCCTCACCGCCGGCGGCGGGATGAGGGACTCGCGGCGGGGCGCTGGAACCATGGAAACCCGCCTATTGCACGCAGGGGAGGTTGCAAACCTGGCCCCCACCGCCGGCTTGTTCTCCTTTAGCATCGCCGGAAAGTATCTCGCATAGTCGTCGGGCGGCGGCGACGATGGCGGCGACTTGGTGGGGCCGTCAGTCAATGCGGCGGCGATGGCGGTGTCTGCCACGTTGACCTGGTTGTCGGAGGGTGGTGGTGGCCTTACGGTCAGGGGGGGCCTGTTACTGTTGTTAGATGTTGCAGAAAGGTCTCGCTCCTGTTGTTGCAATCTCTGCAGCTGGTGATGAGTCTCTGCTATTCTGGTGTCCACATGCTGCCTCGCCAGCTTCCTTTCAATTAATAGCTGCGATTCCAGCTCCTTCACCTGCGGGAGAATGTGGGCATTGGATGATGATCTATATCTGTGCTCCGCGTTTTGATTCACATCGAACAACCCAACAGAGTACGGAAAATCGTAATCACGATCCGAATCTAGGGCCTGAGCGTAAAGGGTGGGGGCGGAACGTGTAAATAAGTGATTTGCCGTTGACTTTTTGCGGACATTTAGTCAGTGAAGGGCAGAATGTCGGGCAGAAACCATGTGGAAGTCTAACAGTAGTGCGTGATTTGAGGATTCAGTGAAAAGAAAATGTTTTTGTCAAGGGGATGCTGGTATCTGAGCAGTTGGCTGATAAACCATGCATTAAGGAGGAAGTTATTGAGCTGATTTTCTAACAATGCTCAGAGTGGTCGGGTTCGTAGATGTGCACAGAAAGAAAAAATGGGCGATTACAATTTACATGATTTGAGGAATTAATTACCTGCCCTTTCAATTTTGAAGGCAAAGAAGAGTATTTCCTTCTTTTTCTAATTTTTAAATCCTGACGCTATGGGCACAGGATTTTGGTAATCTTTCTCAAACCAATGCAGACACTTTTTACAAAACTCGTTGACAAATCTGAGAAAACTATAAACATCAGGCAACAGAAGTCTGTTTACCCAACACTTTGCTCCCATGTAGTTGTTCAGTGGCGAACACATTAACTAAATCCACGATTATTGGTTATAAATCATGAGATTAACTAAAGTCAATAACATCTCTAGACAGCATGGAGCCGCAGAGACCGACAAATCTTTTGATTACTGCCTTTTCAACAATAGAACGTGTTACTAATCTTGACATCGCACAAAGCAGAGAATGTGGTCACGTACCCTGTCTTGGAGGTGCTTGATGCTAACGTCCTTTGACTTTATCCTTGATTCTAGGCAATTAGCTGCCTCCTCCATCTTCTTGATTTGATCGTCCTTGCCCTTGATTTCTTGCTTGGCCTTCTCTAGCTAAAAGTTTAAGTAAGAAAAGGGGACCACCGGTTGATGTCAAAGGCCAATGACTGTGAATAAAATGAGAATGCATTTCGATGAATAACAGAACAAGGAATTACAACATTCGAGAGACAACATATAACCAATAGCGATCTATTTATTATTACCACATCGAAATAACTGATCAAAGTGATGGATGGGCTATATATGTACCATATGCCTGCTCTTTAATGCCTCACTGCTGTCTAACTGCCTCTTGGCTGGACCAAGCTCTATACCCCTTACTCTACTTGCAAAATTTAGGGAGCACAATGTCTCAGCTGCATCATTCTCTTTGGGGCTGATCTGCACAAACATTAGAGTTTTCGAGTCCCCACCTGGGAACACATCGTAGAAATCAGTTCTTGATAACTCAAAAAAAAATCCCTACTTAGTGGAGAAACACCACTAAGTACACAAGGGAGAAAACACAAGCAACCTATGAGACCAAGCATACCCAGGGAGTCTTGCAGCAAGTGGGTAAGCTTTGAATTCCTGCACGCATTGCCGAAGAAATAATCATTTTTAGAGAAGTGATATAAGATCGAGCAGGCTGAGCATGGGAAGACCTTGCATGTTCTTCACCTGAAAGGAATATGGGGACTTTTAGTCGCGAGTGCAGATATCACATCACCAAGAGCTGAGAGGGACTTGTTGATGCTCTGTGCTTCCTTCAGACGGTCTCCTTGAACATCAGTCTTTGCCACTCTTTCGCTTCCAGCCAGGTCAATGAGCCATAACTTGCTTCTTGTGCACTCTCCACTAATTAGATTCTGCCCCTTCACCATGACACAGTGGATGCTGTGTTGACAAGAACTTCAAAGGTCACAAATCTTGAAAAAAATTACATGTCAGAATACGTACGATCCTATAGTTCCTTTTTGAGAATTACCAGTGCGATCGACTACTGTGCTCATTACAGTTAGTAGCTCCCACAGCTCTTGCATTGGTTCCAGTTTGTAGCACTTCCCATACCTCATTCATATTGCTAACTCGAGCCTCTACAAGTCCCGGGACGTGGTGAACTCCTGCCACTTGTTTTATCTCTAGCCTTGAATGAAAATATCAAGGGTCAGATTCATCATAATGAATGATATTTTAGGGCAAACTTCTTTCTGGGTGCCTACCTCTTGGCAGCCACTCCTGGCTGCGATCCAGATAAAAGCAAATCACGAATTTGTTCATTGTACACCTCCAGCACGCTGACAGAAATTTCATACTCAAGCAGTCCCTGTCTTTCTTTCACGATCCTGAAGAGTTCCTCTAGGATTCTATAGTTTACACCACGAGCATCTTTTGTGCCTTCCATGGTGAACGTCTTTCCCGTTCCAGTCTGCCCATAAGCAAATATGCAGACGTTGTATCCGTCCAAAACTGATGTTGCAAAAGGTGAAGTATTCTCGAAAATCATCTCTAACAGCAAAGGTGAAAAGATTAGATAAACATCGATGGGTTAATTACTGTCGGTGCTGTATAGATGGCCAGAAGAATATTAATGACTACCTTGGTCTGCTTGAGGACTAAAAACAGAGTCGAATTTGAAGACCTTTCGTTGTGATCCAGGTGCTCTCACTACAAGCTCGCCATCCTTGGCAAACTCAAAGTCAACAACAACTGAATCGCCCTTCGATACTTCTTCTTGATTCAATGGTCGACATCGGCAAAAGACTCTTATGTTTCCTATAGTAAAATCAGGTTAAAATAAGACCTTTTACTCTCTTTGATTTCACAACAACACAAGATGATGCTACCCTATATAAACTGTAACTCAATCGTCTCTAACCTTTTAGCTCCAAAATCCTGTTGTAAAGCTCTTTCCTCCCTTTAGTCTCTTTAACAAACTTTTTCTGAAGTTCAGTGAGCTCCTTGCCCGAACTCGAATGATCATTCACTATCAATTGGGAGAAAATGCAATGTAGATTATGCGCTGATTGTAATAACAAGGAAACAGAAGCCAACAAGCTGCTACAGAGATGACATTCTTAGTGCAAGGTAGGTATACTCACTTGCTGACTGGATTGTTGCTGTTATTGAACTCATGTCTGCAAGACAGTTCCTATATTTTGATGCCTCTGAAGATACCTTTGCATGCTCCAACTTTAGGAACTATCGCAATCGGGTGAAAAGAGAAAAAATGTGAATTATAGGAAAAATCAAACATCACTACCATGGTTTCAGAAGACCAAGAGTAATAGCATTCATACCTCAAATTTCTCATTCAGCTCTCTCAAAGCTGAGCACCATCGTGTCTTTTCCTTCACTTGTCCCTCTACAGCAAAGGCTGAAGAAACGAGAGGTTACACTTTGTTAGGTGGGGACTTTTCCTCTGGACGAAAGAGCTCAAACGTGTTTCACACCTAAAGAGCCAACATGCATTGACTTGCGCATGAGTTCTGTCTGAAGCTCTTGGAGTGACATCCACGCCTCATGGCATTCCTTACTCGTGAGTTCCTTCTCCTTCCTAGCATCTTCCAGATCTCTCTTGATTCTCTCGTTCTCGTCTTTAAGAGAGTTATAGTTTTGTTGCAGCCTTGCGTAGTCACTACCTTTTTCCTGAAAAATGCGTCAAAGGGCTCATATTTAATTCGACGGTGCTTTTGAAGACATCAGTTGTCTTACTCGTATCCACTGGTCACTATTTTTCTTTAATTAACCTCTGGTATTTGAGGGCTCTCTCCGTATTTGGCCAAGTACGACGAGATGCGTTTGGATACTTGGGACTCAATTTTCTTCGCAGTTACTGAAAAGGTTATCCAAGTACACGAAAATCAACGATCAGCAGCAGCAATCTATTGATTTCATGTTGCCCAAAAAATTTGTAAAGATTGAACAAAAAGATGTAGATGAGAGGAAAGCACCTGAAGAAGCATCGTTCCTTATTGAAATGCCGCAAACTATGGGGTTTCCCGATACAGCCTCAAATCTAATCGTCAGGCCCTCATTCCCACGGACCGAAGCCCTCAGATCAGATAAAACCAATGGCCGATTCGCACCAGCCTTTGCATAAATGTCTATGCCAGAAACGACCTGAAAAAATATCCTCACATCGTGGCAGGGAAAAGGACTAAATTAATGATTCAGATGAACTGGTTCGGCAATGAGAAAAGAAATGTGATGTGTGATTTCTTAGAGGCTTCATTACCTTCTCTTCCTGGATGAAGACGTCAAAAGTTCTCCTTCCCGAGGGGAGAGTTTCGAACATTATCTCAGCCAGATGCAAGGCCACAACGTAATTGCCTGGCTTAATAGTAGGCAATTTGTATGAGAAGTTCCCGAACCGAGCTGTTTGGTACAAGGCAAGAGCCTCTCCTGCTCCAACGTTCGCATTTGTTCTGACGGTATCACCGCCAATGAAGAAGCAGTCCTCTTGGAATTTCATCCCGCAGCAGACCAGAGAGCCGTTCAGATCGCCGGCATTAATGTTCAGCAGGCATTGAGCATCGTCCGTCTCACTCCTCTCATCCGATGCCGCCGGAGGTGCATGGGAAGGTTTATCTCTCTTAAGGGGTCGATTTCCACAAAAGTCTTTAGCTTCCTTTTCCGTCGTCCGACCCAATTGGCAGGGAACAGCAGGGGGGGAACTGGAGTCGTCGACGGCATCGGCATGCGCTGCTGGAAAACCGAACATGCCACAACCTGAAAAGCGAGGAGACGCAAAAAATGAGATGAAATCCATCACCACATTCTCCGCCTGGGCGGATCAAGAACGCGACATGACTGGAAATCGAATGCACCTCCTCCGAACTCGTCATTTCGAAGTGAACCGGCAGGCCCGGCCATGTGGAAAATCTCTCCCTGAGTCCCTTCCGGCGGGAATCCACCTGCGGGATCAGGCATCAGGAACTGATCACGGAAGGCCAGCAACGGCAGGTAGGGAGGAGCATCGCACAGAAAAGAATGACAGGAGATTCCATCTCGACGAACACGGATCACAGTGAATCAGAAAAGAGAAGAAAGAACGCGTACAGTACGCGGGATCAAATCCGGCACCGTCTTCCTCAGCCTCCCCCATTCCTCTTCCCGGCGGCCCGAAAGCCGAACTGCTCCGAGAACGAGGTAGAACTTCCGCTAAGTCCCGTGAACGAGTGAGCCGTCGAGGTTTTCCCGGGCCGGGAATTCGAAGATAGCGACAGGAGGATGAGGAGGCAAGCAAGAAAAGGAAGGAGACGGAGGAGGGAGTGGCCGACGTTATGACGACCGTTGGTATTTCGAAATTTAAAACTCAGAACTCCGTCGATTCTTCTGTCACGTGCACGCACGCGCATCCATGATTTCGAATCCCCACCGAGAGGGATCCCTCCCTCCCCCCTCCTCCTTCCTCCTCAGGAAAGATGGAAGAAACGCTGCGAGATCGCCGAGGAGCGGCGGTGCGGCGGCGGCGAGAGTCCATCCAGCGAGAGCGCTATCTCCACCTCTCCAAAATCAACCTTAAGATTCATCCGCCTCCCTCGACGGGGAGCATCGTTCAGCACGTCCGGCTAGGAGGAGAGAAGGGGGGGGGGGTTGGGGGGTGGGAACAAGGATATCTTACAGAAGAATATGGTACTCTCCGCTCCGCTGCGCTCAAAGAACCGCCGGAAAAAAATCCGCATCCGCCGCAGAAGCGTCCTCCGGCGGAGCGGCGGCGAGCAGTCTCATCCTCGGATCTGGGCGCCTGGACTCGGGGACAAAACTCATCCCGTGCGAAAGAGGAGGAAGAGCTCGGGCCCCCGACGTACAGCCAGATCGCCGACTAAGATTCGTCCGGAAGGCTTTTCCCCAGGCTGAACAATTTAAGGCGTTCTATGAGGCTCTGCCTGATGGAATTCGGGAGCCTGGACGTGAACGCCTTCTTTGCATCTGCGATGAGCAGTTTCCTGTGTTGGGGCAAGAAGAAACAGAAGAAAGTCAGATGCAGACCAGGCAGTAGTTTTCTGCAGCGAGATGAATTGCGTATTGCAGTAAGTCGGGATCTGTAGGATGCTGATGATGATGATCACGAGTTTAAGTTGTTCTAATGCCACTGAATCGATTGGTGGGATGCTGTCAATACAGAGGATCAGGTCAGGAGCGAATTCTTTCTGACGTTCCAGACATGCGTCCTCTTTGCTGCTCCTGTCTACTCTATGCTCTCTATTCCGCGAGATTTTACACCAAAAACGGAGCCCGATTCTAAGGGGATCTCATCATGAACTGATTCAAAATGCCTTGGCTGCTTCATCGATGTGGAAAAGCTGGTAGGATCACATGCACCAAGAAAGAATTAAGGGACGAACTACAGAGCAACGTCAGTGGATGATTATTTCCTCGAAAATAGGAGTGAGAAGGCTGAATGAAGGGCACAGATGGATCCATAGAAACAATGACAGATCCAAGTAGAATCTCACAGGTTCGGTTCCCAACAGATGGGTTTGCATTCACTAGTTGTGAGATCTTGGGGTTAAAACTCATCATCTGGCGGATGTTTTCGCGGGAAGCTCAGCACTGCCATGCAATCGAGGTCACTCGCCACAAGATGTGGCGCCTCAGTGTTTGTTCTACACAGACACAAAAAGAAAAGAAAAAAAAAAAAGGAAGCAGATGCAGGAAGCCTGACAGATGCTAAGAAGGGAGATGGCGAGGTGAGGGGGGGGGGGGGATTCCAGCGATCAAAATATGTCAGGTATTGATGTAGTGCAATTTGAGAACGAACAGAATACTCACTTTAATTCGGTTTTATCAGAACGATTGCTGTCTGCTACTTCGGTACATAATCGCTTTTGGGCTCGCATAAAGTCATGCACTTCGTCAGCCCAGCCACATGACCGCAGCTTGAAAGAAGCCTCCACAGCAATCCTGAAAGAGGATGATCAAAGAAATGATGAGAAAAGGCGACAAGACGACAGGAAATAATGCGAAAAACATGCCCTTCACGATTAAAAGAAGACTCCAAAGATAGGCCTCACTCTTCACTGCCTTGGGGGGGTAAAAGAACAGTGAATTAATTTTGCCGCCTTCGGTCCGAGTGAATTAATTCAGGAAAAAAATAAATCCAATCATTAAAACTATATGAAAAATCACACCAAGAAAACAAATCGGTTTGACGAAAGTTGGTCAATGGCAATCACGCCAGAACAAAAAATTCCTGGCCTCATGCAAACGGAGCAACAGACCAAGTATTAGACCTGTGTGACAGATTTTTTACGAGACCAATAGACCCCCCTTGCTGAAAATAAGATGATTTCAAACTTCCAAGGATGAAATGAAAGAACAAGATCTTCGTTCTGGGTGGAAGAGAAGCATACACTTCCTTGTACTTTTCCAGTCCGCCAGGAAAATATTTGTCTGCGTTTGCTCTACATTTACGGGTTGGAACATCCTCTCCAGGCGAGTCAAAGGCACGTGAATTCCCAACCGTGCGGTTCTCTGCTTTTCTTTTACAGACAGAGGAGACAACTGGCTTGCAGCTCTCTACAGCTTGACTATGGCTAGCATGAGTTCCGCTTGTAACTGGAGAGGTCAGAGCAGCATCATTGTCATCAGTGGTCTCACATTTCATCAATTTAATGCACCCATTTCCATTTGACACTGTGCCACCAGACTTGGTAATTCTTTCTGTGGAATCAGAAGAATGACCCTCTGAATTATTTGCAAATGAATGTCCCAACTCCTCTCTACCATGTGCAGCTGCTGATTTCCAATTGGACTTGAAGGTTGGTGAGCTAGCAGTTTCTTTCATGGCTTTGGAGTGCCCAGAACTACTGTTGGTCTTAACTGCCTCAATTCCATGAGCATTTGGGTTATCATTTTCATTCTTGCGGGCAGCTCTTTTCAGTTCCACATTTTTCAAGTTTGAAAATTTCATGGGAGACTTTGACAAAATTTTGTCATTCCTCAACACAGCCGTTTCCTTTTCAGGATGAAGCGCCCCATTGGCTGATGGTTTCAAAATAATGGAAGCACTTCCATTACGCATAGGTAAGGTGCCATTTCCATTTGTACTGGCAGACTTTGGTAGGGCTAGATGCATCCCATTCTGTATAACAGATGATTGTCTGGAACTAACATATGGCTTATGATTCACTGGTGCACTACTTCCATTGGACTCCAGAGATTTAAGACCATTGGTGGCAAGGCCAGTCTTGGTGTCCTTCGGTTTTTGATTGCTTCGTACGTAGAACAGAATATAAACTTTCTCTGATAAGACAGCTTGTGCAGTGGAAAGTGAAACATAAGCATCATTACAGCAATACCAACGGCCGGTGGCATCCTGTCAATGGCATGGAGAAACTTAGGAATTGTCAGGCCACAGATGTCCAAAGTAGATATTTTAAGAGAGAATCTGTAAAAAGTTAAATAAAAGGAGGAATGGAAGAACACCTTTATATAAGCATAGTAGTGCCCCGACTCTGGCGAGTATCCTGAATGTACAATGCTACCAAAAAGATTGTACTCTGGATGCGGGTCCTGGATTTCCATAGACGTGATCAGAAATTGATTCTTGAAACAACAAGTAAAACGTGATTCTAAAATATAATCCAGATAATGTAGATAACAACGGTGAGGAAGAAAAACTGGATATCTCGGATTAATGAATCAGCTTCTTAAATATTTAAAGTAAATTTTCCTCACATAACAGAACTGTAGATCAAAAGAATACATCTAGAGGCACGTGGCAATAACTTAAAGAGGTACCTAAATCAAAGTAGATACCAGAGAAGAACCCAATACATCAGTCTCATGGTTATTTGCATGCCAGACAACAAGAGTTTGATGGAAGGTCCAGCACAAACGTTCTAGCCGGAAAAAGGCAGCCCAAGTTTTGACAGAGAAAGGAAAGAGGTTTCTGAGGGTCCAACCCTTGTCCCATCACATGTACTTGCACCCTTTCTCCATTGGATTTGGCAGATGGTCACCATTACCCTCAGTGCACTGGTCCAGTCATCCACTGAGATATCCAGCAACTTTTATCCTAACCGTCTCATCCTTCTCACTCTCCCCCCATCAGACCCCTGCTGATTCACCATTATTGCTGGCACCTTACGGGTGTCGAATGACAGTTTTTTTTACTCCCAGAACCCTAAAATGTAAATCCTTCTAAGTTGAAATAACTTTCTCCTCTATTCCCCTTGCCTCTTTCTCTTATTTCCAACCTGAACAACCCTTCTCACTGTCCTATGCATGCTTCTGAATCCCTTTGTCTGTTTCCCAAACTGGCTCTATGCCTACCCAACCCTCATCCTGCTTACTTTCTCTCCCGTCTTCGTTTTGTTCGTCTCCTCTCTGTCTTTCTAGTGCTAATGACAGTTCATTTCGAAGGTATATTTGTTAACACTCTATTACTAATCGAATAGTAGGTAAAATCGACATCAGTTATTCATTATAATTAGAAATATTAGAACTATTTATCTACGACAGATGAGTCCTTAGGAACCTCCATTTATTTGGTTTCTTCATTGTAGTCATGTCTTCTCATTTTGAACACTCATTCCGCAAGCCTGATGGAGGTCAATACAGTCTTCTGTCACTTTATCTATCTATCTATCTATATATATACATATATATATATACCTTCAGATGAATTTGATTTTTTTTTTTCAAAATTATACTGATAGCACTGTCTAATTAGAATGGCTACCAAGAGAAAGAAGATGCCCAACTGTCCCCTACGTTTATAAGTGCCAAAAGCAGAGCACAGATATATTGAATTTACTCCTTTGTCCCTGCTCAAATATGGCTTGAAAGCACAAATATCATCAGGTTAAACAATTTCGTAGCCATCATTCGTGAAGCATCTAATCCGGAAAAAAAATTCAGCGATGAAAACCACACCTACATTGACGCTGCTAATCACTTTCTTCCTCTCACTTTTCCTCATAAAAGAAAATGTTTTACTCCGGTAGATTTTTTCTTTTTTCCAGAACTTTAACGCATTCTGTTTGGTTTCAACCCTTTCATCCGAGTTAGAATGATGGAATCATATATACTCTTGATCGCAATGGTAGTTCTTATATTGGTTCAGAGGAGCAGACTCTGTACCTCGTTCACACCATATTCAATACGAATTTTACCTGGAATTGGTCAGGAATCAACCAGGAGTTATTGGACTCTGTGAGTTGATTGTAGTATTTACAATTTAAAATGAAATCGGAGGCGACATTTATGTTATAGTATTCAAATCATGCATTAGCACCGGATTCTGATTCTAAAATCATGTTTGCACCATATTTATATCATGTTTTTCTCAACAAAAGAACAAGAAAAAAAAACTTTTGTTTTCTCCCCCCAACTTTATTTCGGTAAATGATTAATTAAAAAGCAAGCAATTGCAATGAGGATTTACTGACAGCTACGGCAAACAAAGTAATATAAAAAATGAAAGCATACCTGGCTTGCTTTGCACATAAAGCTTGAGAGCAGGAGAGCCTCCTCGAATGCAATGTCCTTATTAATCTTTGCACCATACACACCCTCAAATCTCTATGAAGAAACAAAATGCTCACTAGTTGTCTTCATGATATTCTAGACGATTTAAAAAGCGCTTTGTTTGCAAAAATGATCAAAAGATGGATGGGAAATCACCTTGAGCTGGATTACGAGGACATTTGGAGCCTCAAGAACAAAAATCTGCTTTCTGGCTTCAGAGAGCTTCTTACAGCTGAAAAATCATCAATGATCAAAGCCTGTTAAAATGTTGTGGGCTTATAAAATAAAAGTTATACGAAAAATGCAGCAGCAAATACCCCAACAACTTGGAAAAGAGTAAGAGTAGCACGGGCATACCTGTTACAGCAGTATTTGTTGCTACCATTCAAGATTTCGGGCTGAAAGAAACGCCTGAGTGCATCACTCAAGGAATTACTCTGGTAGAGGTCAAGGCTAATGTCCATGATCTCATCTGTCTTGTTCGACTCTGCATTGCACGAGAGGCACTTTACCTGGCTAAGGAGGGCTCCCCCAAATATTTCCCTCACAACTGTATTGGACTCCCTGCCACCGCTGCGGTCCTTGTCTGTATCCATGCTATCACTGTTGGATGCAGCAGCCTTGAGGAGCTTAAGACAGGTGTTCTGACAGGCATCAATAACATAACGGAGGAACTCATGGGCGTCTTCCTGGCGTCCCCACTGGAAGTGCTCTGCAAACAGCCGAAGACAGCTCTCAATCTTAGAGGGTGCATCATGGGGCCCGTCGATGCTAAGTGACCGTGAAATTCGCTTCTCCAAGATGCAGAAAGGGCATTCCCTCTTATTGTCATCGCCATCCAACTTCTTGCCTGGAGGACATTTTAAGCAAATTAGAATTGGCATGCTATCCACCGTCGGCCGGCGAGAGGACACAGAAAGGGCGGAAATCGCATTTTGCGGGGAACTGCAAGAGAGGAGAGGTAGGGCAAAAGAGGCGCAGGATTGAGTCTTACAGAGACGAGTATGCTGACCACGGAGGCAGAAGTTGGCGAGGGGAGGGGTGTAGGTGAGGCACTGGAGGACGCTGTTGAGGTAGCAGGTGTTGCCGAGGTTCCTCAGGCCCAGCGGCGGCGCCCCGCTCTTCCTTCGCTGCAGATTCGGCTGCCACGTCATCTGCAAGGCCATCTAACGGAGTTGGAGGCCCTCCCCTCCAACCCCCCCGCCTACATCCGATCGCATCCGCTCTCCTTCCGCCTCCACTTCCCTGCCTCTCTTCCGCCACCCGCCGCCTCCCACACCCTCGAGAACGACCTCTTTCTTCTTCTTCTTCGCCGCCGCCGCCGCCACCAGACAACTCTCTCTCTCTCTCTCTCTCTCTCCGCCTGCAACCACGGCCTAGGAAGGGGAAGGGGAAGGGGAAGGAGGTTGGAGGGAGGGAGGGAAGGAGAGAGAGAAAAGGGAGTGGGGGCGGAAGACGAGAGGGGGGATCGAGGTTTTCCTTCCCGACCCCGCCCCGTTCACCACCGAAAACTTCTAGAGGTCTTCTATTTACCCTCTTTCTACTGTTTCCCTTCACCTCCTTTCTCACTAGCAAAAAGGCGAAAATTCCCCCTCCCTTCTTGTGGGTGAGGCCCACAAATCGACGGTCCGCGGTCAACAGTCAAACTTTCTGTGGATGTCATTGGGCTGTTAGCGGGCCAAGATGATGAGGCCCATTAGTGAGGAGGCTCGAGCGGCCCAGCCGATGAGTGGAGAGGATGGCGGGGAGAGTCACCGGCCGGAAGGGGGATACCTCTCGCTGTCGGCGGTGGTGCTTCGAGGCTCTGAAACTCCGGCGGCAGTCGGCGAACGGAGAAGGGCGGAAGGAAATCTCCGAGTTCGGGATAAGGGAGAACGGGAGGTCCCTCTCTTCTATCAGCCGCACTGCCAGTCGAGGTCTCTGCTCTGTCCTGCATCACCCGAGCGGGTGAAGGAGGAAGGGGGAGAAGGAGAGGTCGGCGGAGGAGAACCGCCGCCTGCCGAATTGCCACTCAGAGAACCGCCGGAGGAGGAGCAGGAAAATGAGGAGGTCGCGGCGGTCGTCACCGCCGCTGCCTCCGTTTGCGTCTCCGTCCATCCTCCTCGCCGCCGCAGAGGGATCCAGAGGCTTCGTCGCCGTTGAGTCGGTAGAGTGGCTCTTTCTCCGCTGGCCGAATTCGACCAGTCATCGGTGATCCCCGGGGGAGTTCCCTCAGTCAGCGGTACCTCTCGTCGCCGCCGCGGAGAGCTCTGATGAGGCCTCGGTTAGTTTAAATTCTACGCGACTTCTTTAGTTTGTAATTTCAGTCGTATAATTTACTCCTTAGACGTTTCTCGATATCCTTTCCATGTTCTTAAACCCGATTCGGCCCACCTGAGGGTCGTAGGCGGCTGCCCTTCCCCACCAGCCGCCAGCGGTGGCGGCGGAGGCAAGAGCTTGGTGCTGACTCGAGTCATGTTTAATGAGAAATAACTTCGAGCCTTCATTTCTTCTGTTTCAGGCGATGGCTCAGGCCACTCTGCTGAGTCTACAAATGAAATCTGCGAAATCCTGCAAGGGTTCCTCCATTTGAGATTCCAAACAGCTCTCGGGCAGCCTCGGGCCGCGCGTGGATTTACTTGGGCGCCGAAGCTGGGTGGAGCAACCGGCCATGGAAAAAGGTGACGAAGAAGTAGACGGCGGCCGCATGTTGTCGCTATTTAATGCTCACGGTACAGAAGAAAGCATCTCCACGGATTTTGAACGACAGCGATGGCGACTTCCTCCCCGTTATTTATGCTGGTTTTGGGTCCTTTCCTCGGACAAGTCTCCGCTCCAGCAATCCGTATTCCGCTTCTCTCTCCCATGTTGATAAGACTGAGACGATCAGATGAAGCAATTGATTAGCTGGTGGATTAGATTCTCAGACCCGTGTCTTCTTCTTCTTCTTGTTCTTTCGTCTGACGCGGTCATCGACCCGCCTCCCTCCCTTTTCCACTAGTTAATCCATCCCTCTTGGTTTTCTCACCTCTCTCTCTCTCTCTCTCCGCATATTCCTCCACATGAATTGAACAGCATCACTGCCGTCGTCATGAACCTCATACTACTATATATATCGAAAACCTCTCGTGCTGTGCTCTACTCGCTGCAGCTGAACTTCCTCGTCGTCGCCTGGCTTTCTTTCATCGACGGTTCGTTGATGATCATTTACTCGTCATCCCCTGTGCTCTCCTTTCTCTGTGCTTCTCCCTGCTTAGGAACAGTTACTGTGTACCTCTGTATGTGACAAGAATTTGGTCCTCTCCTTTCCTCTATTACGGGGAAGGAGCGGCTTATTCGTCGTTCTCAGAGCTGTGCAATCTTCTGAAATGCTTCCTGTGCTTCCAGGGACGAAAGACGGTGAGCTGTGACGATGGAGATAACCAATGTCAACGAGTACGAGGCGATCGCGAAAGAGAAGTTGCCGAAGATGGTCTACGACTACTACGCCTCTGGTGCAGAGGACCAGTGGACCCTCAAGGAGAACAGAAATGCCTTTTCCAGGATCCTGTGAGGCCCTTCTCTCCCTTTAATCAGCCTTTATACTGGGTCTGTTCTATCGACTTCCTGCTTCCGCTGTCGCCCCTTCTGCTTGATTATACATCACCCCCATATCATTTTGGCGTCACACACACACACACACATATCTATATATATATATATATATATATATGTGTGTAAATCAAATGATCTGGCATAGTCTGCAGGCACCGGTTCATGTGTTCTCGTACTTACAGGGATACTGATGTACTTGGTGGGCTAGAACTCATCAGCGACTTTTACTGTTATCGGCAATTTGATTTGCAAAATCAAAGCCTCCTGAATTCGATGACCAAATCAGACATTGCCCAGAAAATATGATTTGCCGTCTGGCCTTTGAATGGGATCGTACACTCCAAGTGTCAACCCCTTCCGATGATCACATAATAAGATTTTGGGGTTTCAGGTTGCTGAATCGTCGTTTGCGCTGTCCTGTATGCTTCTTATAACTTTATATGTTGAAATATTGTGATGTTCTGTATCAGCAACCCGTTCGATGGGATGCTAAAGAATCTGACCTCAATGCTGGAAAGGTTTTTTCTACTAATGTCAGGTTGATGACAATCCTAAGCCTGATCAATTAATCTTACCAGGTTTAGACCCCGCATACTCATTAATGTGACGAAGATAGATTTGACGACTATCATTCTGGGATACAAGATTTCGATGCCTATCATGATTGCGCCCACAGCCATGCAGAAAATGGCTCACCCTGATGGTATGTTTGATCTTCTCCCTGAGGTAGACCTGTTTATGTTTTGGCCATAGTGATGGCTTGGAACTCCATATAGATCCTGCTTAATGACTTATATTATTTCAGATTTACTATCATACCAGCGTTAGAAGTCGAGTTCTTTACTCGTTTAAATCCATATTTGTATAGATCTTTCCGTCATGTCATCCAGAATGATTCCAAATGCTCCCCTTAGATTGCATTAATTTAAAGTAAATGAGTTCCTGTCTGAGCATGCGTTGAATTCTTCCCACAGGAGAGTATGCAACAGCAAGGGCCGCATCAGAAGCTGGCACAATTATGGTTAAACCCTCCTAACTCATTGCCATCTATGATTCTATTTTGGGAGCTGGATATATTTCTCAGACTAAAGGTGCTACCTGGAAGGTTTTCCAGAGAACTAATCATGAAAGTAAAATGTTTTTTTACGGGAAAATAATATATGCTAACGGTTTAATAGTTAGTGTACTTTTACCCTCGACCTTCTTAGCTGGTTAGAAATCTAATAATATTCTAGCTGGAACTTGTTGGTAGTTTATTTGACGAAGTTCTTTCTATGTATCTCTATATCCAGATAATCAATAAAGTTCATTCCTTTAAGCTAGAATATGTTAAAATCTGTGCTGTAAAGAATTGAATAACTATTGCCATGGTAAAATATGTTGTTGGATCAAGTATCCTCTGTGATCTATCAGGCAAGATGCCAAGCTGAATAAAATTTTCTCGTTTCATTATCATCTCAATACCCATTGGATTGTCTTCATGGTTACTTATATTATTCTCTAGTATAATAAATTTGTCTCATTCTTCTCATCAACGTTCATGCTCACTGCCTTCTAATCACCTCGATTTCGTCTGTATTTTATCCACCGAAGCATCCTCTGATATTTTCAACATCAAATTCTTCTCTTCAACTGCACGTGGTTACTATTAAATCTTAGACGAGTCTTATCTTGCACTCCTTTCATATATTAGAAGAATGTGTATTGTTTTTTGGAGGAGGGTTCGGGCATGGGGCCTAGATTGCCATTTTCTATTTCTCTTAATAATATGATGTTGCACGTGTATTTACTCAGACGTTGTCATCTTGGGCTACCTCTAGCGTTGAAGAAGTTGCATCAACTGGGCCTGGCATTCGCTTTTTCCAGCTCTACGTGAGTAAACGCGTCTGAGGATCTGAAGATAAGTCCTTCGCTTGCTCATTACTTCCATCAAATGCGCCTTTTCCACTCGGCAGGTCTACAAGGATAGGAATGTGGTGGCACAGCTCGTTAGAAGGGCTGAGAGGGCTGGCTTTAAGGCCATCGCTCTCACAGTGGACACACCAAGGCTCGGACGCCGGGAAGCAGATATCAAGAATAGGTGGGCCTGCTAATCTCATTTTCCCTACAGAAGCTCTTTCATACACTAATTTCTCGGCCTTGGTCTTCATACATAATGGTTTGATGAAACTTAGGGCCTGGGCTCAATGCAGATCTAAATAATTCCTCGACTGTCATTATTTTTGCGTCAACTTGAATCCGTCGGTGGATCCTTTTTGAGCATGACTGATTTCTTGGGAGACTTACCCTCTCCTCGTTTATGATCTCTGCAGGTTTACTCTACCTCCCCATCTGACCCTGAAGAATTTTGAGGGCTTGAATCTCGGCACTTTGGACAGGGTGAGTGCTGTCATCGCTCAGACCACAGCGATGGACTTTCCTTCCTCACCTTCTCTCCGTCTCTTTCATTTGGTGACTCTCTTTTGGCATTACAGACGAATGACTCTGGCCTGGCATCATATGTCGCCAGTCAAGTAGATCGATCCCTAAGCTGGAAGGTATGCTCTCAATCATATCTTCTTTCCGTATTAAGCTGTCGTGACCTGGCTACCCATGGCATTGAGAAATGTAACGGCTTTTTGTATGGTGTCAATATATTTCGCATTTTTGTATAGTTCTTTTAAGTTTGGGACCTATTATAAGTAATATGTCCCCCCTATCATCCTTTATGATCTCCATTTTTCTGGGTTGCGTTCGGTCGGTATGGTTGCTGCAAAAGATGTTCATCACACCCTGTTTCAATGTGGGCAGGACGTGAAGTGGTTGCAGACGATCACCACCATGCCCATTATGGTCAAAGGGGTCATGACCGCTGAGGACAGTAAGCTCCTCACATTCCTCCTCTTGCTGCATGGGAAGATTGGAAGTTCCTTCTGGTATTGACCCTAAACAGCTTTCCTTCATAAAAATGTCAACGATATGTTTCAGCGAGGCTGGCTGTCGAGGCCGGGGCTGCTGGAGTGATCGTGTCCAACCATGGAGCCCGCCAACTTGATTATGTTCCTGCGACTATCAGCTGTCTGGAGGAGGTACCTTATCCTACTTTCTCTCTAACCAGACGCCATTCTAGCTGTGTGGCTGCAGTCGTTGACCGAGCGGTGGTCGCCCACTTGCAGGTCGTGAAGGCTGCGCAGGGCCAAGTTCCCGTGTTCCTCGATGGCGGTGTCCGTCGTGGAACCGACGTTTTCAAAGCGCTGGCGCTCGGAGCTTCCGGCGTGTTTGTGAGTTGATCGTCACCCCATCTCCTTTCTCCCTGGTTGACTTTCTGCCCTGTGGAGTTGACCTTCTGTTGTTGGGGATGCAGATAGGGAGGCCAGTCCTGTTCTCCTTGGCAGCGGAGGGGGAGGCGGGGGTGAGGAAGGTGCTGCAGATGCTGTGCGACGAGCTCGAGCTGACTATGGCGCTGAGTGGGTGCTGCTCTCTCCGCGAAATCACCCGCGACCACATCCTCACCAAGAGCGACATGCTCCACCCTGCTGCAGCCAGGCTGTGAGCCGCCACCATCGTCATCTAGGTTGTGGTGGCCGCCAAGAAGTCTTCTTGTTCGCGCGAGTGATCCCCGAGCTCACCAGATCGGTTGCTGCAGGCTGCCTGCTGTGACCTTTCGAGCTTTTTCAATGGCAGACAAGGAGTCTGTTCGATTACCGGTTGGGATTGAAGTTGGTGAACCTTTGACTTGGTTCCGGATTTTAGTTTATCAGACTTTCAGTATGGTGCCAAGGCTAAACAGAGTTGACCCATTTGCAGTAAGAGACGATTGAATTTTGTGCTCGGCTTGGGCTCCCACCATTTAACCCTTCTGGCCAAATATGTTGACCGACTTTGTCCAGCTTCGTATCCAATCTGGTCTCACGTGACTTGCTCAGTCATTTGTGCTTGTCAAACTCGGATGACTGAGTTATCTCAGGTAAACTTGGAGAGTACAGCCCATCCTAGCTCTAACTGGTCATTAAGCCGCAAGGGTTACTCTCTCTCTCTCTCTCTCTCTCTCTCTCTCTCTCTCTCTCTCTCAACTGTTACAACTCTAGCTCTAACTGGTCATTAAGCCGCAAGCCCATCCTCCTAATTGTAGTGTACAACATAGCCATATATACAAATATTGACCACCATAGACACGAGCAATGCTAACGGATTTAAAAGGCTGAGACTAGCTGGAGAAATTCTAGATAGTTTAGTTGTCTTGAAGCTGCAATCTCATGAAGGTCCTGCATCTCAAGAAACTTCTTTCACTCCAAATAATTGAGATAAATATTAACAAAGACAGGTTTGATACCCTTAATATCTATTTCTTCTATGAACTATTTTTATAGTATTAGAATCCATTTCGACATAGCAGCTATTTTTCCCAACTAAAAAATGGTTGTCATTCCTCAACGCAGTGTAATAATGTGAGTTAACCCCCATGGAACTGGGTAAATATACCAAGAGTGGAGCGAATCGCATTAATGCATTTTCTAAGAAAATAAGAACATAAGAATTGAGGATAAGCAACCACACAATAGGTCAATGCCATGAGTGTGTATGCCTTGCCAAGTAAACTCTTCCAAAGACTGCTCTTGGCACCACCAAATGTAGACGGACTCCAAGAACAGCCCTACATATAGCATCATGAGATAATATTACCATCATTGGACAACCCATTTGAACTCATCATCTAGTAGGTACTCATTAGACTCTTTTCACCACTTATTCTCAGTTCGAACAGAAAAATTGATTTTTTTGTTCATTTATTGTTCCATAGTCTGGATAATATAATTAATCCACATGATCCTTTCTAATTAATACTTTTAGTTTCAGGAAAAAAAATCGTGAATGAGCCATTTAGGCATCATATCCAATGGTTAAGGAGATGATGCATAGAAAAGAAGATTTGAAAATAAGGTTTATTCTGTGAGTAAATCATTGTTCTAAGAGAAAGCCATGGTTGTAGGCTCTTGATCGAATCTTGTTCCTAATCTTCCCTTATTTTTATTGATTCTCTACCTAGCACTTTGCTCCACATGGAATGATCTCCTCCCTATAATGTGCTCATAGTGAGGATCACATAAAATCTTCTCTAGACCAAGTTATAAGGTTTTGTTGCTAATAATTGTTGTCTTTAGAGCATAATCAGTTTTGATGAAGAAAAAATGGATAGAAGGGTGAAATGGTAATGAAAAAATAATAGAATTATATTACGTAATGATCTAAACCAAGGACAATACTATTGACTTCAGGAACGTTAATTATCTCAAAAGGTTTCTATGATGACAAACATACATAAGGAAAGAAAATGATTCATAATATGATTAATACCCTATCTACATGGGAGATTTTTGTAAGCATACTTGTCATTATTTAAATTAAAAATTCATGATGAATCTATACTAATATTTTCAAGTATCTTGATGATAGTTCAATGATTGCATTTTTTACTCATGTGTTGAATTTCATATTTGCTGTGACTTTCTGCTATAAATCATTATTTTATTGACTATTGTAGAAATTCCTAGTAAGTATGAAAATTTCAACTAACTAACTTTAATAATTTGGATATGAAAACTATTATAATTTTTTTATTAAAGTAAATTTTATACAGTACAATCTATGCTCATATTTTGAAATTATTAATTTCATTCATTTTCTATGATGAATATTAATATAGAATTCGAATTGTATAGACAGCCTATAATATAATAATTCGAAATATCTTTGAATAATAATTCAAAACTGACAGCAAAATTGATACTTTATTTTCAGATGTATTTAAAAATTCATTTTTAATAATAACATACTATTATTGGATGTTTAAAAATGGATAACTTTGGATACATACATTCATGGCCTAAGGCTAAGATATTGGCTTAAATTAATGGGATTTTTAAATATTTAATGGATGTGTCATATTGGTTTTTGAGTATTTGGATTTCTAACTATTTTTAAGATTTTAGCATTGAATAAAAGTAAAAAATACAAGGAAAGCTAAAATTTCTCTATGAATTCAACCTTTTTCAAATGGATAAATAATCTGGAATAATAAAAAAATTCTCAATTGCTCTAAAATTTCAAATTCTTTCCTTAAAAATTTTAAATTATTTTCTATAAAAAATAAATTATTTTCTTAAAAAAATTAAATTATTTTCTAAAAAAAATAAATTATTTTCTAAAAAAATTTAAATGAGAAGATAATTAGTTGGGGAGCAATTCTTGATTCAAAATTAATTATCTTCAGCTTGACTTGAGTGGCAATGTCTTTGGCAATCAAATAACTTGTAGATTGGAAGAGGAAAAAAAAATTCTAGTTCAATTCAATTATCTCTTCATCTTCTTTATAAAATTATAAAAAATTTCATCAACAATATCTTTCTTTATTTCTTGTAACATAAATTTGTGATTAAGTTTTGATTTAATCACAAAATAGAGTTGAGTTTTATAATCAACTTTGGGCTACTTATATAAATGAATTTACAAAAGTATTTTAGTTTGAATGAAGAAGAGTTTTGAAACTTAGAATCACACAAAGTATCACTAAATTAAATAAAAACTAAGTTAAAAGTAGAAAAGGTAGAATTCTGGCCTTGCAATAGTGATTGTCGAAATTTTGTGTTCGGAATGATTATCAAATAATATCTATGACATCAAAGGCTCTCTTTGGACATGGATGACTTAGGCATTCGTTGGTTCTCTTTCTAAAGTCTATAAAATGATGATAGAGGTTAAACTAGTTAAATAAAATAAAATAAAATTTTAGTATTAGGATAATGATGTATTAGAATCTTGAGCATTCGAGAGAACAATCATGTAATGTTAATGGCCTTAAAGGCTCTCCTTAGACATAGAAGACATGGGCAATCTCTAGATCTTCTTGTGAAGTCTAGAAATCGATGAAGTGAGTCAATGAATTATTTCTAGTGGTTGTCATCTAACGAAGTGAAAAAATAACAACTTTATAGATTTCTGACGATTGTCACTTGACAAAAATAAGCTAGATAGAGGTGGGGCACATCTTATGAAACTTCATTCTTAGGTCCGTAGAGTAAGATGAGGTTCTTCATCACATTTGGCACGCTCTCAGAAAGTAGTGACCCGTCTCCTAGTAGATCATCGATCAATCAGAGATCATTGATCGATCAATTAGAGATCATTCTTATTTTCAATAATGGCATGTTCATCGATCAATCAAAAATCATTTACTTGATGAATTCACGTTCTTTTTATCCAAAATCATTTGACAACTTTAGTAATGATATTCTGCAAATCGTATTGACGAAATTTTTATCGATGATTAAGTAATTATGACAACTTAATCATTTACTAGTAATATGCAGAAAAATCATGACTTAATCAAATAAGAATATAAGTTTTAACTTTGATCAGATTCAAATCTTCGTCAATCACCTACCTATATGAGAGAGAGTGAAATAAGTACACAAATATTTTTTTAAAGTGACATCATAAAGGTATTTTGTTTTCATAAATAAGTGATATTTTAGGTATTAAAATCATTGAAAGCCGTTAGGAAGTTATAACATGAGTTTAGTTCTACATCAGTTATTTTATGACTTTTGAGGCGTATATATAATAACACAAGACTTTGTTATCAGCGAGTCCTTTTCTTGTGTGTGTATGACCACTCCTTGCCCCACACTCGACTTACCATTAATTGAAAAGAGAGTGATGCACACGTGCCTATCGGTCCTTAGATGCTTGATCCCCCTACTCGTGGCTCTACCCAATTGTGCTTCTGACCTACTTGTGGGCTTAGCTAGTCAATAGGTCCACCCACTTTTCTATATTTATTTTACTTTATTTTTCTTCATTTATCTCTCTTGAATTTCCTCTAGTTCGTTCATTTCTTGAAAAATGATAGACCTTCATGTGGAAGGAAAGAAACTTCCATTCATAACATATGAGGAAAAAGAATTCACGAAGTATTTACATTGAGATAGGGGTTTATTATTTATAATAAATCTATGAGAGAAGGTTCTAGATATAGAGCCTTACATCTTGAGACATGTAGATGATGTTCACATGCTTCTTTGAGTGAAGCAAGTGATACACACTCCAACTAGTAATGTAATATTTACAATGTATTTCAATAGTTTCAAAAATAGGAATATAAAAATTATATAGATTTATATAAAATCACATAATTAGTCAAAAACTTATATTAAATAATTAAAAAATATTTTTCACTATTTAATATAAATATAAGTCTATTTATCATGAGTCAAGACTTAAAATCTATTTATTAATTAATTATTAACTCATGATAATGAAGACTTATCAATGACTCACTCAAACAATAAAATTTAAACATACATCATCTAAAAGAGTAGATCATAGATACTTTTTTAAAGAGTAAGACTAAATATAATTTTAGAAAATAAATTTATTAATTAGATTTTATTCATATAAGAATAATTAATTAATTTGAAAAGAACAAAGTTCAAGTCTTTAATCCTAAACTCTCAAATCAATTTGTAATTAAAAATAAATAATTATTTAAGAATA